AAGCCCATCTTTGTATGGGAGAAGGGGGCTCACTGCCATTAACAGAGAGTTCTTCACACATAGGCCTCTGCTCATAAACAGTGCCAGTGAGGGATTACCATGACAATGGGTGGGGGCTGCGGTAGAGCACTCGCACTCTCAGTCTGTGTCTGACTGCAGTGTAGTGGAACTGAAGTTTCTGAACTCAAGATAAGGACAGCATTTGAAGCATTTAAATCCTTCATCAATTCTAGGACATTTGAGTGGATTATATCAGGAGTAATTGTCTTAATGACAGCCTTTTGCAAATAAAAGGAGGAATGAAAACATGTGAGATTGGCAGAGAACCGTACACAGTGTACAGAATTATTTAAATGAAATAATTTCTTTTAGTTAAGTGTTAATGTATTGCATATACAGGTTTCAATTCGTAGTCTGTCCTCAGGTTACCTTTGTCTGACACTTGTACATTTCGACCAATAATTTCACAGTTTGTCAACAAGGACATAACTAAACATGTAGGTGTGGTGGCACAAAGATGGAGTGATCCTGTGTTTCTGCAGTGATGTGCCCTGTATATGTTGACATTGATTGAATGCTCACAGCAACCAGAACTCAGTGTTCTCACAGTATTAAAATGAGCTCTCCTCCTGAAAAGCTTCAAAGCTGCCATTTGTACAACGACAGTTTTGAGCACCACTGCAATAATTACTATCTGAATTTTGGTAGTGTAATTATGCAGCCATCAGTAAAAGTACATCATGTTCCACAAAAGACAAAAAAATGACCTAGATCCTGTTTTCGACATAAAACTTCCAAATTTTGAATTTAAATATCTCACAATCCATCGGTTTACTGTCCAACTGACATTTGTCAATAAGTCAAATAAGGTGAAGCCGCGCTTCGAAAACATGACACCACGTTATAGTCAAGTAGCGGGTATTTTTGTCATTTTAGGGTGCCGCTTTACACTAATGGCACACGGTGAATCGATCTAATAAATAACAAAACAAAAGTACAATATGTTAAATTAGAAAACAATGACATTGACAGAGATCCGCAGACATTGCTCCAAAAATGTCACTGTTAACCGTCTGCCTTGTCTGACTTTGACATCACTGCGAGGCGGTGAGAGTGGACAGGTACTATTCCCCGAGCAGCCAATCACGTTTCACCGAACGCGCTTCTGGAACGAGATTGACAATGTTTCTCACCAACTGTATCGCAACTTGCTTTCGGCTTCATATTCCAACCAATAGTAGATGACATTGGGTGGGTCCCTCACAAGAACATTCCCCGGCTCTGTTCCTCAGTCTGCCCAGTTCGATCGGCAACGGGAGCGGAAAGAGGAAAGCAGAGAGCCCGAAGGCAGTAGCCCCCACCACCGCCGGCCCAGGTTACCATCTAGCACCGGGAAACACAGCAGAGAGCCGCCGCCGGCAGAAGCCAATACCAACAAGGAGGGAACATGAGCAGCGAGGCCGAGACACAGCAAGCTCCGCAGCCTGCTGCCGATGCGGAGAGCCCATCCAGCCCGGCAGCCGCAGCTTCCGCGGTGGATAAGAAGGTCATCGGTAAGGCTGACTGGATCTAGTTAGCTCTGTTGGCTTGCGTGGGGTTTGTGGAGCAACGGTCGATTAAGATACTCAAGGACTATATGTAATGTAAACTACAAAAAGCCGTATTACAATAATTAAACGTTATACTAGACTCACCAAACGTTCAAATTATTCTTATAAAGTAAATAAAAATACAGGTCGTCACTCAAAGTATTGTTTTCACACAGTTTTTTTCTATTTGAAGCTGTTAATTTTTCGATGGCACAAACTATTTTTTTACTCGCCAAAATGCAATAACCGTAATTATGGGGGTTTGCTACACCTGTGTATGTTATACGTTTAACACCGCGTGTTAACTGTTTAGCAACATTGTTAACTACCTAACAATTATAGGTCTGACATGTATACATACGAGTGGTCTGACATTCGACGCGCTGTTACTGGGCCACACAGTACAGTATTCGCCATTGATTGCCATGTTGCCGGTTGGTAATCACATGTACGGCCCTTGGAAGTTGGGACTTGATGCATCCTGGACTAACGTTGTGAACGGAAATACATCACGACGGTGTCAGACTGTAGTAGAATACACCAGGGACATAGCGAGTATTACATACAGGGTTTAAAACAATGACTCTAATAAACACAATTAATTCTTTATACACACTGTTCCGTCGAATGGGAGCTAATGTTAGCTGCTAGTCCCTTTGTTCATTCGAGAGGACCTGTTTCTGCGACGGCATTTGATCATGTTAAATGCGAAATGTATTCAGTCAGCTAACGTATCGTGTCGTTTAATTCCGCCTGTTATTGATTCGAATAAACTTTAACCTGTATGTGGCCATTTGTCCATTTTTGCTCGAAATTTCCTATACTCGTTGTAGCTGGTTAGCTCCCAGCTAGCCTAGTCGGTTAATGTAGATATGCATTTTACATGGCTGAAGAGGCCAAACAAAATGTCCGCCACATAATTCCCAGGATTTATTTTGTGTTTTTATAACTAACACTCGTCAATGATATAAATTGTGGCGGCGTTATGAAATACGTTGTAATCCTTTGTCCGTAATTGACGGTAACATTCGTGTCAGGCGTGTTTCCGTTTGCTGGCTCTAATCCAACCACATGGTTGAAAACGGTGAGGCTAAGCTAAAATGCTAATAGACCAGCTGGGCTGGTTGCTCACTAGCGTTCAGGGGCGCGACTATACCACGTGTAAACGCACTCGTACACCAGGACGTAAAAATGGGGCAGTAGATCTGGAGCAGTTGGACTTTGAAACATAGCGACGTTATGAACTGTTATCCCTTCAACAATCTTAAGCTCAATCGCGGTACTTTTGAAATGTCGTACGGTAGACAAGCTGAGTAAAAGGAGGTCGTGAGACTCGCATTCAGAGTGACGTAAATTAATACTGGCTCACATAGTTTTCACAGCCAGTGCAGCTGACGCGGCATAGCCTTCACCAACAGGATCTATAAAAAGGGGCGACAGTTGGGAGTTAAATATAACTTTAACGTTATCGCTGTTCTTGGTTTGGTTCAGAGCAACTGCTGTTATCTGATTCCTCTTAGAAAACAATTCTTTTAAACCTTTCCTGCCTCACACCTGATCATGAGTGACACCTAGATTTTTGACTCTTTGCAGCAACTAAAGTCTTGGGTACAGTCAAATGGTTCAACGTCAGGAATGGATATGGCTTCATCAATAGGTAAATGCACCACGCCCAGACCAGCTTTCACAATATCTTCTGTGTCTTAAGTAAAGGAACAATCCAAATCCTATTATGACTTTGATTTGCTGACAAAGCTTAGCGCACAATATGTCTACTGCTGTCATTGTAGTTGTCCTAAGACATACTGCATGTTTTGCCTATAGAAATTCTAGTGCTGATTTAAGTGCTACACAATTCCCAATGCATCATTCAGTGTTGGTCTTTGACTTTTCAAACTATATTTCCCATTTTAGCAAGCTTTTTTTCCCCCTGTCTCCCTTTTTTTTTAGGAATGACACAAAGGAAGACGTTTTTGTACACCAGGTAAATAGTAAAAATTGCAAGTTAAAAAAAGTAATTTAGTGAAATCTAATCAGGATCTAATCTAAACATCTCATGTTTTCAGACAGCCATCAAAAAGAACAACCCAAGGAAATACCTCCGCAGCGTTGGGGATGGAGAAACTGTGGAGTTTGACGTAGTTGAAGGGGAGAAGGTACAATAAGATCCATAATCAGACTAAATATAAACAAGAAACAACAGTGTCTATCCTACAAAATAATAGTCAGGAGTAACCCGATTATGGATTTGTTTTATCACCTCATTACACATTTACTTTTATGGGTTTTGACAAACTATTTTACTGGCTGACATAGTGTTCTATTGAATAGTCTAAATAAGTGATTGCAAACTTGGGATGGTCAGAAAAGTTAATGAGTGAGTGGGACATAGCTTTAATTCCCTCATTCACTTGGCTCCATACAGAGTTACAGTATGTCAGATACTAATAGAATACTTAAGGTTTCACTGCGAAACCTTAGTCTGCAATAAATTATAGTCTGTCTACTTTTGTTTCTATAATCTATTGACAAATTGTCTTCAACTCTAACAACTAAGTGAAAGTGTCCTGTGGATCAACGTCGGTACTTACATCTCTCTTGTTTGGCACAGGGAGCAGAAGCAGCAAACGTGACCGGCCCAGGAGGTGTCGCAGTCCAGGGAAGCAAGTATGCTGCTGACAGGAATCGCTACAGGCGCTATCCACGAAGGAGGGGCCCACCCCGCGGCGGAGACTACCCAGAGAACTACCAGAGTGACGGAGAGGGTGAACAGGGCAGCGTAGGCAAAGGCAACAGAGAAGGGGGAGAGAGCGCCCCAGAAGGAGACTCACAGCAACCGCAGCGCAGACCCGCCTACCCCAGCAGAAGGCGCTACCCGCCATACTTTGTACGTAGACGCTACGGCCGCCGGCCCCCGTACACCAACGCACCACGCGGAGAGATGACTGAGGTACGCTGTCACAGGGCTACTATCCTGAAGCAGGCACCCAGCTGTCCCCTAAAGAAAATCATGGGAGCCATGATGTTGATCTCAATCGCGGCTTTAAAAGCTCTCCATTGAGATACTCACGTGGTTGTGGACCATTGAATCTTGGTGTATCGGGGGTCTGCCATCGTCAAAAATCCACCAAAACAGGCCCCAAATCCTGATTTGTATCAAAATCTTAAGACTAAATTCTGAAGACTGATCTAGCGTCTGTTGGAACAGAAGCTGGTGAAGTCTGCTTGTTCTCCTTAACCTGTTTAATCTGATTGCTTTCAGGGAGGTGAGGGTGATGAAAACCAGGGAGGTCCAGACCAAGGCAACAAACCAGCGAGGCAGAACTACTACAGAGGCTTCAGACCAAGGTTCAGACCAAGGTTTGCATGTGGGCTTCATTGATGCAGGCCTGCAGTTAGAGGAGAGTCAGACTAAAGACACTGGATAACAACCTCAAGCACTGCAGAACACTGTTATCCAAAAATATCATTTTGATATTATTAATAATAAAAGCCACCTGTTGTGGCAGATAAGCTCTCCTTTAAGTGCAGCCCAACCTCAAAATGCAGCTGTTCATCCAAATTTGACCCATTTACATTTCTTCAGCGCAGTTGTCACATAATTTTAGTAGTGCATCTGTTTGTGTGGGTGACGTTTGTTTGCATGACGACTCCACCACTCATCTCAAATCATTCCAAGTTGCTCAGGTTTTTTTTATTACTTACTTGTTTACTCCAGAGGTCCACCCCGTCCCAGACCGGTGCGAGACGGTGAGGAGGATAAAGAGAATCAGGGTGGCGAAGGTGGTCAAAACCAACAGCCCCGCCAGCGGCGCTACCGCCGCAACTACAACTACCGCCGCAGACGCCCACAGACTGGTGGCAAACCAGGGCAGGAAAACAAAGAGGCCAAGACAGGAGGCGACCCATCTGTAGAGAAAACGTCCGCTCCCGAGGCCCAGCAGGGTGGGGCTGAGTAGGAAGCAACCTGCCCGCCGGCACCTACCATCTTTACCATCGTCCGGGTGAGCATCATCTGTCAACATGAGTCTTTTGGAAATGTCAAAATGAACACACACTTGAACTGGGAACTGACTTGTGTTTTTTCTTCTTTTCAGTTTTTTTGTCAACAAGTAACATCCAACAAGATCTGAGCAATAAAGATTTGACGACCGTCACAAGCTTGCACCATGTATTTGACCAGATTACCACCAATTGCCTGCAGGATCTATGCAGACTTGTTTATTTTCCATTATTTTTATGTGACAGTTACAAAAATTTTTTGGGGAAACAGCAAATGTTTTTCTAAATCTGTCCTGAGTTTTTACACCAAATGGTTTTTAAAGAAAAAAATGAATTTGATATCTGGTCAGTTTGACATTTTTAAATAACTTTTTATGTATTCAAACATTTTAACAAAACGCAAGCTCAAATAAAAGCCCAGAAACCAGAAAGGCTGTCTGGTGTTTTATTGTCATTTAGAGACTCTAACATAGCTTGAAATAAATCTAATCAGTCACAGTAAGTTATTGTTTATTTTTTTCTAAACCATTAGAAGAATAGTACTGTACATGCGACAATGGCACAGTTGGTCTTATTTCACCATAATTAAAATTGGAACTTAAGAAACTAAATAATTGATAAAGATGTTAACTCAATACAGCGTAGAATGTTTTGGCCTGCTGTGAAATTTTATTTTTTTATGATATTTATAAGTGTTTTATACAGATGTTTTGATTTTAGTTTAACCTATTTTTTTAAGAATGAAGATTCTAAGGGTTTACCTAGAAGCCTGTGGAGAGTGAGTATTTAAGCTCACACCACTGAAAGTGTCTAACCGTGAAGTTAAGTTTAGTAGACTAATCTTTGAAGGCTCTTCTAGACAAACCTGCCACAAAACAAATAGTGTTCGAGCTGCCATTAATGCATCATGGAAATATTTACCAAAGAATAATGTGCTGGGACTCCCAAACCTATCCAACGACTACGGTCAGGAACTAACACAAACTACTACTCTTATTCAGAAAAATGGTCAACACTTGTCTGTGTTATGATTCTGTATAATTATCTGAAGTAAAACTTAAAGAATTAAGCTATTGAATCCAAAAACAACAAAAATATTTTTCTCTACATAAAACACCTAGCAAATACTTCTAAAAGAATAAAATGTACAGGGCCGTACATGTCACATCATGTCGTCAGATTTCGAGGAGGATGAGGGGGTGGGTGAAGCTGCATCCTAGCTGAATACGTTTTTAGAAGTTAAAGAAATACATAGATACTGGAGTAAGTTAAATTTGATTAAAATGCACTCAATACCTACAATAAAGGTGATTGTCATCTTAGTATTCAGTTCTGAAAAAAACTTTCTGGTTGAGATTTAACTTCAAGTTCATTTCCTCACACTACGTTTTACAATTCACTTGAATACTATAACAGATTGTATAAAACATAGTCACTGGATGGATTCAAGTACTTCCTGGTTCTGGTTTATACATGGAGCGCTCGGTCAAGAATAATGGCCACTTATCTTTGTCATCAAAGGTGTATTGTATAAAACACCTTGTGTTGTCAAGTATTCCTGAGTCTAGTGTAATTCATGGACAACCTCGTCCTAGAACTGGGCATTGGCATGATCATCCAGGTATTTCAAATGAAATGCTCACTCAAACGTTGGTCTCTTTGCGCAGGCGCTTCATGCGCTGGACGTTGTTCTCCATGACTGTGGGGTTGGTGATCTCCGTGGCACAGCTCGCTGGGAACCAGCCTCTTTCTCCGTCTCGCATTCTCTCCCCGTAGCAAAAACCTAGAAAGTAGAGACACTTAGTTCTCCCAACACGTTTGCTTTATTGTTTGTTGTGTGAATTTTTAAATTATATACACAGACTGACCTTCCTCCTTCCTAAGAACGATGACCAGCTCGGCCTGCTGAAGCCCAAGATCATCGGGCTCCTTGGGCATGTAGGCTTTGGTGGCCTCATACTGTGGAAGACCTGGAAAAATATGACAAATATTTGTGGTGATGTATACTACTGTGGTGTAAACTTCTTTCTCACCCACTGAATTATTTTTCAATTACATTCAGCCAAAATGAGTGAAGAGGAATATCAGATCAATTGTGGTTGGACCCACCTTCCGTACATGTGGCACCTGCCTGCTTTTGTTCTGTAAGAGCAACTATCCACCGTGCTCGGTCCACCCTGAGCAAAGAAGGAGAAAAGAAAGTGAACAGTAGATACCAGGGCACACCCAATACAAACCGACAAGAACTTTGAAATAAAAAAATGCATTGTTGTTATTCGGATTTCTGTCAGTAGATGGAGCTAGATACAAGGAATCAAACTTTGATTCTGGTTTTTAATGATTGGGCACCTACTCTGTAGTACATATAACTCTGTTACCCAGAGAAGAACTATATTTATGTCGTAACAAACGTTTTCATGTTCTTCCATCAGACAGTAGACCGTGAACAAAAACAATTTGTGCAATTAAAACAAACGAGAGGTGCAGTACCTGGATTCAGCCACCAGGGAGATCTGCTCCGCTCTGCCCTCACTGTTTTTGCTCATCAGCAGTTTGAAGGAAAGGAAGTAATTGGAGCTGTTCTTTGCTGGGGGAGACATCCGCCCTTCCACCTCCTCTGCCACCACCACCTCCACATTCTCTGGAGTCGCGTAGTCCATCACCACGAAGCTTTCCTCGCTGAATAAACACACAGACATGGGCAGACTCTGGTATGTTGTTTGTCTCATTGTAATGAAACATCAGCAGTCACCATATTACCACCTAACCTAATGAGTGACGGTACAGAGTTGGCAGTGTTGAAGTCAGAATCAACTCTGAGCTGACATTGTTCAGAGCTTCAGTCAGCTGAGCTGACAGGGTAAATGGACAGATTAAGAATTCCAACTATGCAAACCCCACATCACTACTCTGTCCTTTCTCTGCACTAATCCACTCCTATTTTCACTGCAGCTCTCATTTTTATTTATCCACCAGCTATGGTTTTACTATGGTTTTTATGTATTAAACAAGCACAGGGGTCACCAGGAAAGTTCTGGAGAATCTTTAAAAAATTTACCAAAATGTCTCTTTGAATCCAGATTCCCGTTTGATATGTTTTCAATTTATTTGATTTACTAGGTTTTCATTATATATTTATAATATGATGACACATTCCTGGCATATTTTATTATATATTTTTATGTCAGAGTGCTGAGACTGTAATCTTTCTATCCCTTGTCCCAGTAAATGTAGTCCTACCCTATATAGGAAATAGGAATTCTCATTAAAATTATAATATTCTTGTCATAGATTTTTTTCAAAATAATTTCATTTTCTGACTAACTTTCAACAATTTTTGTGCTAAATGTTATTCATCATCTGGACTTTTAGGCTAAAATCTAGTTATTTTTTATGTTGACATTATTTTAAAAATGTATTTATCTTTATCTGCACTTTATCTAACTGTTACCAATTTCTTAGCCAGGATTTTGAATCTTTGAATTAAGTAGTTTTTAATTTGAACTAGTTTGGCTGCAATTTACATTGAACGGCCATTTTGTAATCCAACAAACCTTTATTTTCTTTAGAAAATCTAACAATGATTTTAATTCCACTGACCTCTTTTTCTTTGTGATGATCAGCACGTCATTGAAGAGAAACAGGTAGTAGCTCCTGTGGCTGAAAGCCCTCCAGATGCTCAGTTCTTCAGTACAAATAGCCAGTTCACCACGCTTTTTCAGCCACCGTGAAGATGACACCAAAGGAAATGGCTGCGGGTACAAATAATTCTGGTCAGGTTTGTCATAGCTCCACTGAACATGACAAAATATCACATTTGGTCGGTTCTGACCTTGATTTTGCCGAATTCCATCTGTTTCTGGATGGTGTACATTTGCTCTGTTCTCTCCATCCGCCTCGCTCCATCGTTGCAGCTTGTGACCAACTGTAAGGATATTGAATAGAATATCAACATCACGAACAAAAATATATGCATAACTATATCCATAACCAGAGTCAAAGATGCTGGACGAAGCTGTTCAGAACATAGCCGCACCTTGCTCATGGCATGAAGAGCCCAAACGGCAGCAAAGTATTCTGCAGTCTTGTCTGGAGTTTTCTGGCATATTGTCTAGACACAAAGAATTACACCATGTTAGCAAAGCACACATTGATCAAACACTGTCTGACTAATGGTATTTATTAACTGTACATGGTGTAAAAACTCTTCAAATGATCTTTTCAAACATTTAAATAAAAAAACATTTAATGCACATTGTTTGTTGGTTGTCTTGTAGATAATGACTGTTAACTTGCAAACTCGCATGGATTTTATTTTACTTTTATACCAAGTTATCTTTTTGGTGGGTTTTAGCCTTCATCCAACATTTAAGTTTTATACAGAATTTAACCATCATTTGGTATAATTTCAGCTATTTAAAAACCTTTACAATTCTTCATACAATTTTTAATTTTTAACTTTTTTGTAGCCTGGGCGTAGCCTGGGCTACCCTTTGGCTACCCTTTGGCTACCCTTTGGCTACCCTTTGGCTACCCTTTGGCTACCCTTTGGCTACCCTTTGGCTACCCTTTGGCTACCCTTTGGCTACCCTTTGGCTACCCTTTGGCTACCCTTTGGCTTTTGGATTTATTTGTGCAAACTTTTTCCCTTTTATTTTTTGTCATGTTTTCATTGACTCATCAAAACCTGATCATTGCTATTTTTTCTTGCTCAGTCAGCAAATGTCCCCAGGAGTGACAATACTGTAACATGATTAAAGAAATAATTCACACTCGTTAAATCAACTTGACTCATTTTCTTAAATTTATATATTATTACTACTAATATTAAATGTATTTAAGGGGTTGTTTTAAAAAAACCCAATATATATATATTTAAATATATGTTTAAGCATTAAAACATATATTGTGAAAATTCATTGAGGTCTGAGAGCTGAGGGGTTTACACTCACATCCAGCAGCAGTGGTAGTCTCGTTACTCGCTGCATGGGCAGGATGAGGAAGGAGATCATGGGGAGGCCTCCACACTCACTGCTGCTTTCAATTTGTTTCAGTGCCTCTTTGAACATGGTGTTGCTTGTCCTTAAAGAAACAGACAGAAAATCAAACTCACTGCTCCATCACAGCAGAAACTCAAAAGAGCGTTTCAGTTTGGTGGCAGCCACTCACAACAGCTTTTGCAGGGTCCTCTGCTGGAAGGTCTCGTTGGAGCAGTAGACGATGTAGGGCTCGAAGTGGTGGGTAGCGTGGTTCTGAACAATATCACTGATGTCCCGAATCACTGGGTTGTCATAGTGACGCCGCTCCAGGTCCTCAAAAAAGCTGAAAATGGAGAGTGTGTGGGGAGGGAGGGGTGAGTACACAAGTGCCAGGACCTTGACTTCCCTCCCACAAACTAATTACTAAAACAGAAACACACAGAGACACACAGAGCGTGTGGGTGTGTGTGTGTGTGTGGGGTGGGGGGGGGGGGGGGGGGGGTGTTTTCAGGCTGAAGTGAGTGGAGAATGACAGTCCAGGACATGAGTCCAGGACAAACACCAAATATTGCTGAAATAGTGTTTAAATATTTTTCATGTTTCATAACTATATTAGGTCTGGTAAAGTGAACTCTATAATAACTAATATTCTATTCATCTGTGCTCTGTTGTCAATGTTTGAGTTTAAGCTCTAAAACCTTGCTAACTGTGTAATGCTAGCACATTTTGCTAATTCATGTTTAAAGCTAACTCTGCTTTCATTTCTTCAATTTAAAAAATGTACATTCACCTGCAGTCTGTTTCTAACTAATTTAGCAGTAACTCTGGTAACCTCCAGTCGAGTTTTAGTGAGACAAAATATTTCTCTCTATTTATTTTATTTCTTCTCTATTGACACAGTAATACCAATGAAATCCCTGACTTACATTATTATCTTATTCTATGAACTTGGGGATTCCTTATTCCAGCCCCACCCTGTGCAAAATCCCTTTTTTTAAAAACAAAGAGACCAAGAAAAATGACACCTACAGCAGCCCCACCCTCAGGCCCAACATTCAACCACAGATACTGTAGGACAGATACTGTCAAACAGACACTTCTTCAACAGCTTTCAGTTTTTAATAGATCCTGTTTTCTTTGAACACGAAAGACAGGGGGATCAAAGAAAGACAGGCCCTCCCTTCCTGCTGCCTGAACCAAAAGTATTTTCATTCAAAGTGCAGAGCACAGAGCAGTGTTGGCTGCTTCTCATGCATATCATTATTCTCAAGGTGGGAATACCATTCAGAGCAGCCAGGCAGCAGAACCAGTTTAGGTAGCATGTTTTAACATGCAGTAGTCAGCAGGATATTTAGTTAAAATCTCACTGGAACTTTTTAAATCCCACTGAGACCACAGCTCAGGGGAGAGATGAATATGAACAATAATATTAATAAACCATCCAGGGAGTATGCGTGAGTACAGCAGATACTACAGGTGGATCATTGACCAGACTGCTGCACTGATTCACACAGTGGTAACATTTTTTCCACATCACAGTCTGTAGTTCCTGTAACTGATACTGTAGATTGTCTTACACCCAAACACAGAGAACTGCAGAATTTGTTGAACCCACCGTTGGCTGATCTTGTGGATGTCAGAGATGTTGGAGAAGAGGTGATGGTGCTCTGTGGTGGTCATGGTTTTCCTCAGCGCCTCACTGTTCTTGAAGTGACGCACCAGGATGCCCAGACTGTGCAAGTATGAGTGCTCTGAGGTAATGATCTCAAAAATGGCCTGTCACAATAACACAACAACACAACCCAGTTAGCACGTGGAGGAAAGTTTTTTTTTTCTCTTCCTAATATAACTCATGACAAAAGCCAGCAAATTAAACATATTCAGCATCTTACATTGATGAGTACAGTTCATGTTCTTATAAATTAATGATGCACTGCAGAGCCAGTGCCAGACCCAAAATAAAAACACACACACGCTGTGGCTGCTGTGCATTCTCGGCTACCGAGTCTGATTGACTACAAATGTTTACTGCCGTCTCCTCGATGTCTGAGTGTGATGACGAGTAATGTTTCGTCGATCGTACATATGACACAAATACAGCGGCAGACAGAGGCGGATGACACATCAGAAACATCACTATAAATATGTTGTAATGAAGGGGTTGGTTAGACAGGGTTACTGTTGTGGCTGTGGAGTCAGGTGAGCTGCTGTACGCACGGCTGAAGTGGCTCAGAGCTACTTCAAATCAAGAGACCACTTCCTGTAAATGGCAGAATAATAATATTTTAACAAGCTGAAGCCTGTGTAGTAGTAACTGTGACAGAGCTGACCAGTGGTGCCATCCACTGTAATCTAACATTCAGTTTGGCCTATGTGGCTGACAAGCAGGCCTCATCGGGAAAGTGTGAACACATGGGTCGGGTGTGGTTTTATTCAGAAACAGGAGTGCGCACGCACACATCACACACACAGAGTGAACCTTTGGTATTGACACAGCATGTGTTTTTACACCTAGTTCGTGGAGTCACAGTATAATAGGGAGAATCCACCCTCAGGTAACGTGACTGTACAGAGGTTTTATGACGATTACAATTTACTAATCAGTTTTCCCAAGTGTACTTAATGTAATTCTTTGGCACATTTGAAGAGAAAAAGAGTCAAAGTAGAATTTAAAAAGAACCTAATTAATCTGGTTCAAGGCTTTTATGTCATAATTTTTAAAGACTTTTATTTTATTGTAATTCAGAAGAGTTGTTTTACCAGGGGATTCTGGTTTTTGTTTTTCATGACAGGGCGTGTAGTATAAGATAAAGTGAATCATTTTTATCTTTAACCTCCTCCCGGTTTGGGTCTGTGTTTTATTAGACCAGTGACATCACAGAGTTATTGTTTAAGAACTGTTTCTTTATTAAAAACCTCTTTCTGTTTTGCTATTGATGTTATTTTTTCCAGCTCAAACTCTACAAAGTCAACAGCTGAGGAAAATGGAAACTGCTGACATGTTGATTCTCACTCTCAAAAAAAAGGATTTTGTCTCTCACGACAAACCTGCAGATAAACACTCCACACTGACACACACTTACCTCCTGTCTCTTCCTCTCCTGGGCTGTGATCAGTGTCAGGATGCCTGTATCCTTCACCTGTGTAGGTGATACAACAGAAATCAATATAATACCAACATCGTCAGATCGACTAATGAAAACCTTGGAGTTTTCACATCAGACCACCAAGTGTGGGGGCAAATAAAGTGAGGGGCAGGCCCTCTATGGAGGTGCAGGACTATTGCAAAGGGGGTCAGCAGGGTAAATTAGGTTTGATTTCAGTAGTTTCCTGATTTGTGCCACAAATAATAATGTTGTAAGTTTATTTCCTTTTCTCCACAAGTATATTAGTTTTACCTCAATTACAGTGTATAAAAAAAAATTACATTTTTGAAGCCATAGCTGTGAATGTGTAGGTGTGAGTCAACACTCTTTATGTTCACACTGTTCATTTCCATGATCAGTGCTGTCGACACCTCCACAGACACGACAATGTTTCACTCAGTTACAAAGACATTAATATATTCCTACCTGTGGGAGCTGACTCCAGGTGAGCTGTGCTGGACGGTAGTTCTTCACAACAATGCCCTGGTCCTCCACCGGCGCCTCCACCACCACAAAGTCATCCAGCATCTCATCCTGGTTGGTGGAGTGAAGCCCTCGCTCTCGGATCTCCTGGTAGAGTCGCGGTGTAGCTGAGGTTGGCAGAAGAAAAAAAGGTGTAAAGTTCTTTGAACTCTACAAACTCTACTTTGCATCATTATTCTATTCTATTCTATTCCAAGAAAAAGAGTTCCAGTGGCAGGCTAAATATTTCTAGGACATCACAGACATTCAGCTGCTGGGAGAGTGCAGAGAGAAAGATTTCCTAGGCTTTTCTTCCATAAACCTCAGGGGTCTTTCCTGGGGCTTGAGATGAAAATGAAGGCATCCACAAACCAAATCCAACAACTCACTGAGCTTTACATTGATGAGAAATTTCCATACAAATAAATACTTGAATAAAAGCCTTAGTTGTGATTTTCCACTTGTTTGTGGTCATATAGTTAATTTTAGATCAGTAGACAGGGTGACACATGATAACATACCATCCTTGAAGGATCCACGTTTCTGGTTCCTCTTTCTCCCCAGGGTTCGCTGCAGGGGAGACAGTAGTAAAGCCTCAATATATTACTCTGGACCTCCAGCTCATCAATGTTGACTTCAACCATCAAATCTGCCTTTTATTACTTTAATTCTAATGTTTTGAATTATAGTCTGGAAAACATAACGTGAGAGTCAGGAAAACACTAGAGCTAAATAAGGAAATCTTATGAAAAAAGAAGTTGTCTGACTAGAACTAAAAAGCTGACTGAGCCTCTTAGATCAGTGCGTAATAACTCAACTCTAGCTGTTACTGACCTAAGGCTAGAATACAAAGGAGTTTATAGTACTATCTGTAAACAGTACACATGAGGCTCCCCTTGCCTACGCACCAACAGGTGGTGCAATAAACGCAATAAAAACACAGTTTCACATAAATATAATCCTGCGAAATTTTCTCCAAAAACATCACAGCTGAGAGTGAACAGTGAAGCTGCTTAAATTTAAATTTGCCTTATTGGAGAAAAAAAAAATAAAAAAAACTGCATCTAAATGATTTTGTCCATTCCACTAATCCCTTGGTACCTTTTCTTTTGGCAGATTTACCTGATCTGTTTGTCCACATAAAAGGTTCACCTTACCAGGATGAATGATGGTAATTTAATGGATAATATCATTGAAGGCACTATAAGTACATTCCCATCTCTGAACAGCAAAATTAAAAACAACAATATCAAACTGTCAGAAATCTCACCTTGCGTCCAGGGGTGCGACATGGACTAGGACTGGACGCCCTGTTCTCTCCGACAGGCTTCAGTGGGACCGTAGACTCTCGTCCCGTGGCCATGGCTTCAATGTCTAGACTGGTTACAGCTGCTCTGTATGACATGTTCCTGCGGTTCCTCCTCAACGAAAAACCATCTCCATCACTGTCGTAATCCTCCCAGGACACGTCAGAGCCCTGGGCCGAGTGTCGGATCCGGGTCTCGTTGCTCGAGTGCTCCAGTCCCACGGGGAACGTGACCACAGTAGTGTGGTGGCGGTGTTTAGGTCGTCCACTTGTTGCTAAACTCTTTGGAATGAGCTGCTGGCTGCCAAACTTTTGTGCTGCAGGACTTGCAGTGCTCAAAACCACCTGCGGAGGCACCACTAGCCTGTCCACTTTGTCTTCCTTGACTGGGGATTTTTCCATCGGGGGTGTTGAGAGGCTTTGTATAGGTGGGCAGTAATCTTCATCACCTGGCTCAGAAATATGCAGTTCAGTGGAGAATTGGCTCTCCAGAATCAGAGGGACTTTGTCCCCCGCTGGGCTGTCTTCTGACTGGCTTTGGGACATGGCGTCTTCGTGGCCTCGACCTTCGCCTGACCGACTTCAGTCGAGCTTTTAAACACCTACAACATCTGAGGAGTCGGAGAGGAGAAAAAGACAGCAGGAGACATGAGTTCAGCTACAAGCAGGGAACACATATAAACTATCACCTTAAATGGAGCGGGGTGAAAACAGCACGGGTAATAGAGATGACCCTGGAATACCACGAGTGACCCTCACACGGGCTACAAGATCATTCTAGAACAAAGCCTGTAGTATCTCATGATCCAATTGCTCACAGTCAGTGAGACAGTCAGATGTGTTTAACTCATATTAAAAGAATTACGCCCCCCTCTTGTCCCAGAATCAGTATCAGGAAAAGTTGGCACAAGACGTGCAGTACAGGAGCACTCACACACACACACACACACACACACGCACATAAAGGCATTATGAGCCACCGGGTCACCTAGACCCAAAGGACAACACCAGGGTTAACAACGTGTGGAACAGAAGCTACGGAAACAACCAACAAAAATGTGAACGAAACACATGAAAGGAAAGAAATCTTATTTCTATATTTTACTGAGCTTTTTATCTCTAAGAAATTGGCCACCACAAAATTTCTAATGTCCAGCAGCTCATGGCCCAGTGTTTGTAATAGAAACACCCTTCAGATGTTCCCCAGTTGGGGATTGTCATTTGTAAAAATTAAAGTATCTCACCTCAAAACAGCCATTAATTTAATGTGATAAGAGGAAGACAAGACTTTTTCATGAATGTTTTTTCAGCACATTCCTTTAAATGAGGCATATGATATTTAAATTCTGTTGTGTACTAGTTAACATTATTAGTTTTGCAAGTATGTCGAATAACAGTGAGGGGTTTTTTTTCTTCAAAGTATGCGTAGAAAGACGAAGGTGAAGCGTAGAGCAGCCACAATTACAGTCAGCTAAAAAAACAGCACTTCCTGTGGTTAATGAGAAATGTTAAAGTTGTCAGATATTAAAAAACTATTTGTCTGTAGCAGTGCTGTACCCCCACACAACAGCTTAACAGAGGACACATAAACCAACAAAAAGCAGTAATGGACAGATGGTGGGTTAAATACCTCAAAGGGAGGTCTGGGGACCTCTTAGTGTCCATGAGGTGAGGGTTATTATTAAAAAAAAGACCAAATGAATAAAATAATAATAAAAATGCTTGTTTTTTTCATAAATCATGTAATTAAATCTTATTAAACATTTCTGAGTCCACAGTCCAGTACCACCACCTAATTTTAACACCAAGAAAAACCATGTTTCTGTCTGTAGGAAATTAAACAAAACCTTGATGTTCTTTTCAAGTAAACAATCAGATTGGGAAGCTGACCAAATAGACCCCTACCACTGATGTGGACCATAGTGGTTGTTTTGATCTGATTCTAATAGAGGAGCTGGAGGATTATTATATAAAAAACGAATTATCATCTGTTCCAGACACAGTAAAATGCTAGCTCATGAAAGGTAAGTGGAATGATGAAGTAAAGTGGAAAAGAATTGTCATTACAATCATATACATATACAAGGTCGAGTCAAGTGAACACACGCACACGCACACACAGGTAATCTTATGCAATCACTAAAATCCATTAAAACACTACAGGGACAACAATCATAAGAATCAAAACAACGACTTCAACGACTGTTGGTTCAAACCCACTGTAACCCACTGCCACAGTAACACCAGTGAAACACGGCCCGTGTTTTTCTGCTCAAACTAAACTTCCACGAAATTTGCTGCCTGAAAGGGAAAGAAGGATTAAGGGTGGGAGAAAAAAATGTCGGCCGCACATTCCCACGGTTCCTCACGGCGAAGTACAAACAAACAAGTAAAGCCTCGCCGTTCTAACCTGAGTCTTACCTGTGAGTGGTGAGTCCACGGACCGAAGAACACCTGAGCGGCTCCCACTGTGGTCTCGGTTCAGTCCAGGAGTGAGGGGCCGTGGTTCAGAGGAGCAGCTACTGTAGCTACTCCTGTACTCCTGTACTCCTCCACTCACTCCTTTACTCCTCTGTCACATACTTCGACTTCCTCCTCCCTGTGTGTTTGTGCGTGCGCGTGCAGACAAGCGCGCGCGTTAACATGCTACGTCACTACAGGTGAACACGAATCGGGCAGTTTAAAAAGTGACGGAAATGACGTAATGGTGCACTTGTTAGTTATTTTGTGCAGTGAATTTGACAATATCATGCTTGGTTAAGTCTGTATCTTTAAGATAAATAAAAAACACAAATGAAGAAGCATTTACTAGACTTCAATATGAAATAAAATTAGGAATTGAATTTGCTATAATTTCCATTAACTATAAAACATTTAATCATGAAATAATCCCTCGATTAATTTTGTGAGCGTCAGGAAGATTTTATAGCCGTATTCAGTAGAAGATACGCAATCCTCGGCTTTTGTTTCTGTTTTTCCTTTTTCCTAACAAGACAAAGAAGCAAAAAAGTTTAATCCCGGAATACACAAAAGTAACTGGCAATAAATAAATAAGGACAAGAATATATGAAATTACATACATGTATATACATATATTATATATTATACAAACGATGGCTGTTTTCCGTGTTGAGAAACAGTTTGAGCTAACGTATTTTAAGAAAGCTTAAAATGTTTCTTTTCCATTCCATCAGTTCTGTTTACACTTCAGACATTAACCATTTTATTATCTTCAATCGATAAATAACCGATAAGCTAATGTATGATTTGTGGATTTTCCATTTGTGAAGTAATCGCCTGGTTTTCCTCCCTTTTCTCTCTGGTTAAAAGACTACAAGCACAGAAAGTGACATTATTGTAATGTTTCCAACGGTTTATCACGTTTCTTTTAATCGATTCAGGGCCAATTGTTATTAGTCGTTGGCGTCATCTAGTGTTGATTTGGAGTAACGCGACCGTTTTTGTGCGTTAAGAAGTCAATGCTTCTTAACAAAAACAAAAACAAAACAAAAAAATGGCATTAAGGTGTAAGCCGAGAGAATGTAACACAATTTCACTGTGTGGCCCAAAAAAGACCTGAAACTGAAAACGCTAACTCTAGGATATATTTGAATTAGCTTATTCATTATAGCTATAATAACGTATACGCTAAAGGTTTGCCCAAAATACCCAGAAAAATAACCAAATTATTACACACAATTACAGAAACCAAACACACATGTCCTTAAGTTATCTAAAATACATTATTTTGCAAAACACAGTTTTTGCAGAGGCAAACACTCCTTGTTATTTTAATAAACCATTTATGGGCCACATTAAACCTGCCTAATGATCATGACTGTCTCCCAGACTGGACTGTGGACTTGATGCTCTTCTGGGTCTACTGCAGGAGAGCCTGTCTTAACACCACCACAGGTAAATAATCTGAAATAAATCTTCACTGTATTCCTACTGTATATGCATTTCCAATGAAGAAACATTCTTACATTCTTGACTTTGAAACTTTATTTTTTGTATATATTTGTTAGAATCTGAAATATTTCTGTACACAAATGAATTCTATTCACACAAGGCTGAGACATGTTGTACAACTTCAAGTGAAATCAACAAAATGACAATGAATTTTGAGTGTCACTAAACACGACATATAATTCTCTTATAGTTATCTATTTAGAAAGGTAGATTATACGAGTAGAAAATAAAATGGCAATGACACTTATTTAATCCCTAATTCAAACATCATATGGCATCTGATGAAATTGAATTTGAATATTTCCTATAGATTCCCAAGGTTTGTGTCTTTGACCAAGACACATGTCTACACTCTTTATTCTACATTTGTAGAAATGCACCCCCATACATGTCTTATGGTAAACTTTAAGGGAATTTCCTATGGTGATAGGAAGTACGTTATATATTTATAAGGTCACACTAGTTATGATTTTAATTTTCTCTGTAATATCAGTGCACTAATGACAAAAAAGCTATGTCAAATTCATTAACCACAGTAAACTCATACTTTCCCCAATTTCCTTCTTCATTTCAGATTCATGAAAAAAATTATATATATATATATATATATATATATATACACACACA